AAAATGACGAAACATTGACCAAAAATTCGAAAATAAACCAATGATGTAGCTAGATAGATATTTTAATAACAAATTCAGAGAGGCATTCCACTTTTAAATCGGGTAAAAATTTCAAAAGTTATGGGATAAGCAGTGCTGGGATCTGGTCACTTTTCTGCAAACCCATTTTTTTGCAAATTTTGACAGGTCGGGGGTCATAAAAAACTACAAAATATTGACCAAAAATTCGAAAATAAACCAATAATGCAGCTAGAAAGATATTTTAACAACAAATTCAGAGAGGTATTCCACTTTTAAATCGGGTAAAAATTTCAAAAGTTATGGGCTAAGCAGTGCTGGGATCTGGTCACTTTTCTGCAAACCCATTTTTTGCAAATTTTGACAGGTCGGGGGTCATAAAAAACTACAAAATATTGTCCAAAAATTCGAAAATAAACCAATGATGTAGCTAGATAGATATTTTAATAACAAATTCAGAGAGGCATTCCACTTTTAAATCGGGTAAAAATTTCAAAAGTTATGGGATAAGCAGTGCTGGGATCTGGTCACTTTTCTGCAAACCCATTTTTTTGCAAATTTTGACAGGTCGGGGGTCATAAAAAACTACAAAATATTGACCAAAAATTCGAAAATAAACCAATAATGCAGCTAGAAAGATATTTTAACAACAAATTCAGAGAGGTATTCCACTTTTAAATCGGGTAAAAATTTCAAAAGTTATGGGCTAAGCAGTGCTGGGATCTGGTCACTTTTCTGCAAACCCATTTTTTGCAAATTTTGACAGGTCGGGGGTCATAAAAAATTACAAAATATTGTCCAAAAATTCGAAAATAAACCAATAATGCAGCTAGATAGATATTTTAACAACAAATTCAGAGAGGTATTCCACTTTTAAGTCGGGTAAAAATTTCAAAAGTTATGGGCTAAGCAGTGCTGGGATCTGGTCACTTTTCTGCAAACCCATTTTTTGCAAATTTTGACAGGTCGGGGGTCATAAAAAACTACAAAATATTGACCAAAAATTCGAAAATAAACCAATAATGCAGCTTGATAGATATTCGAATAACAAATTCAGAGAGGTATTCCACTTTTAAATCGGGTAAAAATTTCAAAAGTTTGGGCTAAGCAGTGCTGGGATCTGGTCACTTTTCTGCAAGCCCATTTTTTGCAAATTTTGACAGGTCGGGGGTCATAAAAAACTACAAAATATTGACCAAAAATTCGAAAATAAACCAATAATGCAGCTAGATAGATATTCGAATAACAAATTCAGAGAGGTATTCCACTTTTAAATCGGGTAAAAATTTCAAAAGTTTGGGCTAAGCAGTGCTGGGATCTGGTCACTTTTCTGCAAACCCATTTTTTGCAAATTTTGACAGGTCGGGGGTCATAAAAAACTACAAAATATTGACCAAAAATTCGAAAATAAACCAATAATGCAGCTAGATAGATATTTTAATAACAAATTCAGAGAGGTATTCCACTTTTAAATCGGGTAAAAATTTCAAAAGTTCGGGCTAAGCAGTGCTGGGATCTGGTCACTTTTCTGCAAACCCATTTTTTGCAAATTTTGACAGGTCGGGGGTCATAAAAAACTACAAAATATTGACCAAAAATTCGAAAATAAACCAATAATGCAGCTAGATAGATATTCGAATAACAAATTCAGAAAGGTATTCCACTTTTAAATCGGGTAAAAATTTCAAAAGGTTTGGGATAAGCAGTGCTGGGATCTGGTCACTTTTCTGCAAACCCATTTTTTGCAAATTTTAACAAGTCGGGGGTCATAAAAAACTACAAAATATTGACCAAAAATTCGAAAATAAACCAATAATGCAGCTAGATAGATATTTTAATAACAAATTCAGAGAGATATTCCACTTTTAAATCGGGTAAAAATTTCAAAAGTTTGGGCTAAGCAGTGCTGGGATCTGGTCACTTTTCTGCAAACCCATTTTTTGCAAATTTTGACAGGTCGGGGGTCATAAAAAACTACAAAATATTGACCAAAAATTCGAAAATAAACCAATAATGCAGCTAGATAGATATTCGAATAACAAATTCAGAGAGGTATTCCACTTTTAAATCGGGTAAAAATTTCAAAAGTTTGGGCTAAGCAGTGCTGGGATCTGGTCACTTTTCTGCAAACCCATTTTTTGCAAATTGTGACAGGTCGGGGGTCATAAAAAATTACAAAATATCAACCAAAAATTAGAAAATAAACCAATAATGCAGCTAGATAGATATTTTAACAACAAATTCAGAGAGGTATTCCACTTTTAAATCGGTTAAAAATTTCAAAAGTTTGGGCTAAGCAGTGCTGGGATCTTGTCACTTTTCTGCAAACCCATTTTTTGCAAATTTTGACAGGTCGGGGGTCATAAAAAACTAAAAAATATTGACCAAAAATTCGAAAATAAACCAATAATGCAGCTAGATAGATATTTTAATAGCAAATTCAGAGAGGTATTCCACTTTTAAATCGGGTAAAAATTTCAAAAGTTATGGGCTAAGCAGTGCTGGGTTCTGGTCACTTTTCTGCAAACCCATTTTTTGCAAATTTTAACAAGTCGGGGGTCATAAAAAACTACAAAATATTGACCAAAAATTCGAAAATAAACCAATAATGCAGCTAGATAAATATTTTAGTAACAAATTCAGAGAGGTATTCCACTTTTAAATCGGGTAAAAATTTCAAAAGTTTGGGCTAAGCAGTGCTGGGATCTGGTCACTTTTCTGCAAACCCATTTTTTGCAAATTTTGACAGGTCGGGGGTCATAAAAAATTACAAAATATTGACCAAAAATTCGAAAATAAACCAATAATGCAGCTAGATAGATATTTTAATAACAAATTCAGAGAGGTATTCCACTTTTAAATCGGGTAAAAATTTCAAAAGTTTGGGCTAAGCAGTGCTGGGATCTGGTCACTTTTCTGCAAACCCATTTTTTGCAAATTTTAACAAGTCGGGGGTCATAAAAAACTACAAAATATTGACCAAAAATTCGTAAATAAACCAATAATGCAGCTAGATAGATATTCGAATAACAAATTCAGAGAGGTATTCCACTTTTAAATCGGGTAAAAATTTCAAAAGGTTTGGGATAAGCAGTGCTGGGATCTGGTCACTTTTCTGCAAACCCATTTTTTGCAAATTTTAACAAGTCGGGGGTCATAAAAAACTACAAAATATTGACCAAAAATTCGAAAATAAACCAATAATGCAGCTAGATAGATATTTTAATAACAAATTCAGAGAGATATTCCACTTTTAAATCGGGTAAAAATTTCAAAAGTTTGGGCTAAGCAGTGCTGGGATCTGGTCACTTTTCTGCAAACCCATTTTTTGCAAATTTTGACAGGTCGGGGGTCATAAAAAACTACAAAATATTGACCAAAAATTCGAAAATAAACCAATAATGCAGCTAGATAGATATTCTAATAACAAATTCAGAGAGGTATTCCACTTTTAAATCGGGTAAAAATTTCAAAAGTTTGGGCTAAGCAGTGCTGGGATCTTGTCACTTTTCTGCAAACCCATTTTTTGCAAATTTTGACAGGTCGGGGGTCATAAAAAATTACAAAATATCAACCAAAAATTAGAAAATAAACCAATAATGCAGCTAGATAGATATTTTAACAACAAATTCAGAGAGGTATTCCACTTTTAAATCGGTTAAAAATTTCAAAAGTTTGGGCTAAGCAGTGCTGGGATCTTGTCACTTTTCTGCAAACCCATTTTTTGCAAATTTTGACAGGTCGGGGGTCATAAAAAATTACAAAATATTGACCAAAAATTCGAAAATAAACCAATAATGCAGCTAGATAGATATTTTAATAGCAAATTCAGAGAGGTATTCCACTTTTAAATCGGGTAAAAATTTCAAAAGTTATGGGCTAAGCAGTGCTGGGTTCTGGTCACTTTTCTGCAAACCCATTTTTTGCAAATTTTGACAGGTCGGGGGTCATAAAAAATTACAAAATATTGACCAAAAATTCGAAAATAAACCAATAATGCAGCTAGATAGATATTCGAATAACAAATTCAGAGAGGTATTCCACTTTTAAATCGGGTAAAAATTTCAAAAGTTATGGGCTAAGCAGTGCTGGGATCTGGTCACTTTTCTGCAAACCCATTTTTTGCAAATTTTGACAGGTCGGGGGTCATAAAAAATTACAAAATATTGACCAAAAATTCGAAAATAAACCAATAATGCAGCTAGATAGATATTTTAATAGCAAATTCAGAGAGGTATTCCACTTTTAAATCGGGTAAAAATTTCAAAAGGTTTGGGATAAGCAGTGCTGGGATCTGGTCACTTTTCTGCAAACCCATTTTTTGCAAATTTTAACAAGTCGGGGGTCATAAAAAATTACAAAATATTGACCAAAAATTCGAAAATAAACCAATAATGCAGCTAGATAGATATTCGAGTAACAAATTCAGAGAGGTATTCCACTTTTAAATCGGGTAAAAATTTCAAAAGTTTGGGCTAAGCAGTGCTGGGATCTGGTCACTTTTCTGCAAACCCATTTTTTGCAAATTTTGACAGGTCGGGGGTCATAAAAAATTACAAAATATTGACCAAAAATTCGAAAATAAACCAATAATGCAGCTAGATAGATATTTTAATAACAAATTCAGAGAGGTATTCCACTTTTAAATCGGGTAAAAATTTCAAAAGTTTGGGCTAAGCAGTGCTGGGATCTGGTCACTTTTCTGCAAACCCATTTTTTGCAAATTTTGACAGGTCGGGGGTCATAAAAAATGACGAAACATTGACCAAAAATTCGAAAATAAACCAATGATGTAGCTAGTGTAGGAGATAAGTAGTATACATATACATACAAATATATATAAGCACCTATGTATACATCACACATTTGTAAATACACATAACATAATTATCTATAAGCATATCTGTAAATTATCCCTAAGCTTTAGCAACATGTTGTTAGGATATATGCATACACACAATAAACATTCATTCGCATTTTGACTAGCAACGAGATCGCAAGCTTTTGATTGATCGGCCAACAAACGCGTGATATTTATTGAACAGCCCACAATCTCAGAAGTGGGATAAATACCCAAAACCTACAAAAAGTGCGATTTTCTTTTTTCTTCCACCATCCTAAAAGTGTTTAAAGAACAATTTGCAAGTGTGTGGTATGAAAGGTGTGGACCCAAGAAAATACTCAGTTGAACAGTTAAAAAATTGGCTGGGCCACCTTAAGTTATCCACAAAGGGTCCTAAAACTACATTAGTTGCCCGCATAAATCGAGTCCCAATTTCGATTCGAGGTAGCCAACCGCCGTTAGTTGTGAAATTGCTTCAGGAAGAACAACGAAAAGAAGCTGAACAAAAAATGGAAGAACAAAGTGAGAATTTCACAACAGGCGACGATCAGGCGCCGACGTGCAGCAACGCCAAGAATAACGACGCCAGCAACAACGAAATTTGGACTTGCGAGGAATTGCGTGCGAGTAAAATGGAAAACGAGCAGACAGAAGCAGACGAAGTGGGTAGCCAGAATGACGAACTACAGAAATTAAAGAAAAAAATGGAACAGTTACTAGAGGAGAATGAAGGATTGAAAAATACCGAAAAAGAGCGAGAACCAGTGGGAGCAGGAAACAAGGAGAGCATGATGCTGATGAGTGCTAGCTCTGTGTCGCTAAACATCATCAAAGACATGTTGCCAGAGTTTGGCAACAAGTCGCCAGTCAACATTTGGGTTGCACAGCTTAAAACTGTTGCTGAAATACACAACCTAGACGACAACATGTTGCGGCTGCTGATCATGACGAAGTTGAAGGGCGAAGCACTAACCTGGTTGTACGATACCAATGACCGACTCAGTTTCTCAATAAACGAAATTTTAAATCAAATGATGGCAAAATTCGGCACAAAACAAAACAAGATGTGCTTGAGACGGCAGTTTGAGAAACGCAATTGGCTCGTAGAGGAGAATTTTGCCGCGTATTATCACCAAAAAATTTCGCTGGCCTCACAAATTCAGTTGGATGAAGAAGAACTCCTGGACAACATTATAGAGGGCATCCCAGACGACCATCTACGTCAGCAGGCACACATGCAGTGTTTCAAGCAGCCGGCTCAGATGCTGAAAGCATTTGAAAAAATAACACTCCCGAAGAAAGCAACGACATCGGTGAATTTGGAGAAGGCGAAAGGCGATGGGCAGCGTTTAAAAGCAGCAATCCGCTGCTATAATTGCAACTCCTTGGGCCACGTCGCAGCAGAGTGCCGAAAACCAAAGAGAGAATACGGGGCTTGTTATGGATGTGGCAGCTTGGATCATCGCATTGCTACATGTGATCAGAAGAAGAAGTCGACCAACGAATTTGTAAGGTATTTTAAGTTACAATTTAAAGCAAAATTAATACTAGCATTTTCGCAGCGTGTCTCATCGATTCAGGGAGCCCGATCAGCTTCATAAAAATATCATGTTTAAGTGAATATTTTAAAAAATACAATAATAATGTTAATCAATGTGAAAAGACAAATGTTAATTTTGATAATTTTGACGATCTGAAAAATCATTTCAATTTTGATGTTTTTGAAAAACCTGTTAAAAATTATGAACAAAATTCTTATTTCTTTGGTATAAATAAAAGTAAATTAAATATCTTCGATAAAATAATTTGTTTTATGCCTGGTAAATATAGAGAAATTGAAATTGAAATGTTTGTCGTGGCAAACCAATCGATGAGTTATGATGCAGTGTTAGGAAGAAATTTTATTAAAGCATTTAATTATAAATTGACAAGTTCAATAATCAATGATAAAGAATATATACAAAAGGAGTGCCCTGAAATTCCAAATTATAAGACAGATGAGTTACAAAGTATAAAGTTAGACAAAGAGTGCCAAAATGAGTGTTTACCAAATGAGTGTTTACCAAATGAGTGTTTAGAAAATGAGAGTTTAGAGTTTAAAGAAAATGAGCGGTTTGCAAAAGATTGTTTAGAGTTTGAAAAAAATGAGTGTTTACCAAATGAGTGCATAAAAAAGAAAGGTGTAAATAATGAATATAAAGAGAATGAGAGTAATTTAAATGAGTGGTTTAAAAATGAATGTTTAACAGATGAATGTCAGAAAAACGAGTGTACAACGGATGAATATGTTTCTGAAACTATTAAAAATGAAGATAATGTAAATTTGTTTGAGATGCTACCAATTGAATATCCTGAGGCTAAAGATGAGGTAAAATTGTGTGTTGGAAAAAATTGTAGTCAGAGTTTAAGCAATCAATTGCAATGTTTATTTAAAAAATGTTATGAAAATGCAAGCAGACCAAAATTACCAGAAATTAAGTGGGAAATGAAACTAAATTTTGACAATATAAAACCATTTCATTATTCTCCTAGAAGGCTATCGTATGTAGAAAAAGAACAGGTTCAAAAATTAATTGATGAGTATCTGGCAAAGGGATTTATTAGAGAGAGCGATTCTGAGTATGCATCTGCAATTGTATTGGTAAAAAGAAGAATGGTGAACCAAGAATGTGTGTTGATTACCGAACTCTTAACAAAAGTATGTTGAAAGATAACTACCCGTCACCACTTATAGATGATCTGATTGATAAGCTGGCAGGAAAAAAGTTTTTTACAAAACTAGATTTACGAAATGGGTACTTTCATGTATTTATGCATGAAGACTCAGTTAAGTACACTGCTTTTACAACCCCGTTAGGACAGTATGAATGGCTCAGAATGCCATTTGGGTTAAGAAATGCTCCAGCAGTGTTTCAAAGATTTGTGAATAAAGTCTTTGCAGATATGATAAAGTCAGGAGAACTATTAGTGTATATGGATGATATCTTAATAGCAACAGAGAGCAGTACCAGCCATATGAAAGTATTAGAGGAGGTGTTTAAAAGATTGGTCGCGAATAAGTTAGAGTTGAGACTAGATAAGTGTGAATTTTTACAATCGGAAATTAAGTATTTAGGATATATAGTTACAGGAGGAGAAATAAAACCAGATGATAAGGGAGTGCAAGCAGTCAGTGATTTCCCGGTACCAAAGAAAGCAAGAGATGTTCAAAGTTTTTTGGGTTTATGCTCCTATTTTCGACGTTTTGTTAAAGATTTCTCGACAAAAGCAAAACCACTGTATGACTTGATAAAAAAAGATAGAGAGTTTAAATTCGGATTAGAAGAACTTGAGTGCTTTGAATTATTAAAGAAAAATCTTTTAGAAGGACCAGTTTTAGCCTTATATAACCCTGCTGATGAGACTGAATTGCACTGTGATGCTAGCTCTTTAGGATTTGGAGCGATTTTGATGCAACGGAAAGTTGATGGAAAGTTACATCCGGTATTTTATTTTTCAAAACGAACGACAGAAGCTGAGTCTAGGTACGAGAGTTTTAAGCTAGAGATGCTAGCTATAGTGAATGCGTTGCAACGTTTCAGAATATATCTTCAAGGTATACATTTTAAGCTAGTAACAGATTGCAATGCATTAACATTGGCTTTGAATAAAAAAATATTAAGTCCAGCAATTGATAGATGGGTCCTTGAACTACAGAACTACGATTACATTCCAGAACACAGACCAGGCAAGAGGATGCAGCATGTAGATGCACTAAGCAGGTGTGTAGAGGTATTAGCCATAGATACTAACACTTTTGAAGAAAGTTTAATAATTTGTCAAAGTAAAGATGAAAAAATAAAAAGAATTAGAGATAGTTTGCAACAGTCTGAGCAAAAGCATTTTGAAATGAGAAATGGAGTTATTTATAGGAAGACAGATAGTGGTAGCTTGCTATTGACAGTACCGGAGGAAATGGAAGGACATGTACTGTACAAATATCATGATGAGTTAGGACATATTGGAGTGAATAAAATGATCGAAATTATATTGAAAAGTTATTGGTTTTCTCACATGAAAAATAAAGCTAAACGCCATGTAGACAACTGCCTTAAATGTATTGCATATTCAGCAAAGAGTGGAAGGGAAGAGGGTTTCTTAAATAATATACCAAAAGAGACTAAGCCATTTCAAGTAGTTCATGTTGATCATTATGGTCCTGTGGACAAAGGTAGACCCAACAAGCATATTTTTGTGGTGATCGATGGTTTCACAAAGTTTGTCCGTTTATATCCAACAAAAACAACAAGTACAAAGGAGGTGAAGATAGCATTGGAAGACTATTTTAGGGCATATAGTAGACCACGGTGTATTGTATCAGACAGGGGTAGCTGTTTTACGTCAGATGATTTTGAAAAGTTTCTAGAACAAAATGAAGTCAAACATGTTAAAATTGCCACAGGATCTCCCCAAGCAAACGGGCAAGTGGAGAGGGTAAACCGTATATTGGGACCAATGATCGCAAAACTAGTAAATTCAGAGAAAGGGTTACATTGGGATATGGTATTAGAACAAGTAGAGTATGCACTTAATAATACAGTTCAAAGATCAATAAAACAGCACCCAAGCAAAATGCTATTTGGAGTAACGCAAAGAGGTAAAGAAATAGACAAACTAAAAGAGGAATTGGAAGAACTGAATGGAGTAACGGAAGATAGAAATATAGAAGAAATACGAGAAACGGCTAGAGTACACCAAGAAAAATTACAAGAATATAATAAAAAAGCTGTGGATGAAAAGAGAAAAGAACCACATAAATATGAAGAAGGAGATTTAGTAATGATTAAAAATTTTGACACTAATGTAGGGATATGTAAAAAACTTGTACCAAAATATAAAGGACCGTATAAAATAAGTAAGATTTTGAAAAATGATAGATATATATTGGAAGATGTAGACAATTTCCAACAGTCAAGGATACCTTATAAAGGAGTGTGGGCAGTGGCCAATATGAAGCCTTGGTTGAGGACAGAGGCACATAAAGAAGATGATGTTGGAGTTCAGGAGCACTCCAGTCAGGATAGGCCGAGTTGTAGGAGATAAGTAGTATACATATACATACAAATATATATAAGCACCTATGTATACATCACACATTTGTAAATACACATAACATAATTATCTATAAGCATATCTGTAAATTATCCCTAAGCTTTAGCAACATGTTGTTAGGATATATGCATACACACAATAAACATTCATTCGCATTTTGACTAGCAACGAGATCGCAAGCTTTTGATTGATCGGCCAACAAACGCGTGATATTTATTGAACAGCCCACAAACTAGATAGATATTTTAATAACAAATTCAGAGAGGCATTCCACTTTTAAATCGGGTAAAAATTTCAAAAGTTATGGGCTAAGCAGTGCTGGGTTCTGGTCACTTTTCTGCAAACCCATTTTTTGCAAATTTTGACAGGTCGGGGGTCATAAAAAATTACAAAATATTGACCAAAAATTCGAAAATAAACCAATAATGCAGCTAGATAGATATTCGAATAACAAATTCAGAGAGGTATTCCACTTTTAAATCGGGTAAAAATTTCAAAAGTTATGGGCTAAGCAGTGCTGGGTTCTGGTCACTTTTCTGCAAACCCATTTTTTGCAAATTTTGACAGGTCGGGGGTCATAAAAAATTACAAAATATTGACCAAAAATTCGAAAATAAACCAATAATGCAGCTAGATAGATATTTTAATAACAAATTCAGAGAGGCATTCCACTTTTAAATCGGGTAAAAATTTCAAAAGTTATGGGCTAAGCAGTGCTGGGTTCTGGTCACTTTTCTGCAAACCCATTTTTTGCAAATTTTAACAAGTCGGGGGTCATAAAAAACTACAAAATATTGACCAAAAATTCGAAAATAAACCAATAATGCAGCTAGATAGATATTTTAACAACAAATTCAGAGAGGTATTCCACTTTTAAATCGGGTAAAAATTTCAAAAGTTTGGGCTAAGCAGTGCTGGGATCTGGTCACTTTTCTGCAAACCCATTTTTTGCAAATTTTGACAGGTCGGGGGTCATAAAAAATTACAAAATATTGACCAAAAATTCGAAAATAAACCAATAATGCAGCTAGATAGATATTTTAACAACAAATTCAGAGAGGTATTCCACTTTTAAATCGGGTAAAAATTTCAAAAGTTTGGGCTAAGCAGTGCTGGGATCTGGTCACTTTTCTGCAAACCCATTTTTTGCAAATTTTGACAGGTCGGGGGTCATAAAAAATTACAAAATATTGACCAAAAATTCGAAAATAAACCAATAATGCAGCTAGATAGATATTCGAATAACAAATTCAGAGAGGTATTCCACTTTTAAATCGGGTAAAAATTTCAAAAGTTTGGGCTAAGCAGTGCTGGGATCTGGTCACTTTTCTGCAAACCCATTTTTTGCAAATTTTGACAGGTCGGGGGTCATAAAAAATGACGAAACATTGACCAAAAATTCGAAAATAAACCAATGATGTAGCTAGATAGATATTTTAATAACAAATTCAGAGAGGCATTCCACTTTTAAATCGGGTAAAAATTTCAAAAGTTATGGGCTAAGCAGTGCTGGGTTCTGGTCACTTTTCTGCAAACCCATTTTTTGCAAATTTTGACAGGTCGGGGGTCATAAAAAATTACAAAATATTGACCAAAAATTCGAAAATAAACCAATAATGCAGCTAGATAGATATTTTAACAACAAATT